CTCTGGTCCCCTCCTCAGCTTTCTCAGGAGCATGCTCTTTTCAGAATCTTGCTCTGTGCCTGGCACACAATAAACTCAGTAACTGTTTTTGACTGAACACTGGCTGCTCTGGAGCTAGGCACAGTTTGTCTCATTCTCCTAGCATGAAACACAGAGTGTCTTTTGGGTAAGATTGAGAGTGCCAGCTCCAAAACCTAGAGGAAAGCCTGGAGGAAGATACCACTTATGTTTGTAGAGAGCAAGATTCTGAAGTGTGGAGACTAGGGTAGGGGTTGGGGGTGAGAGAACATCTCCAAGTCCAGGAAGGTGTCCCCCCATGCCATGAGAAGTCGGTCTGGTTTCACTTTTGATTTGTTGGCAAGTCGCCCTTCTTGGGCTTCCCCGAATGTATCTGGGCTACTGATGAGAAGCCCCACCCTGCCTGTCTCCCCAGGGAGGGGCTGGGGTTGTGAGCCTAGGATGAGGTCATAGGTGGGAAAATGTCAATGAAAGGGTGGGGCACGCCCGTGGCTCTCTGTGCTACTGGGCCTGGGGTCACTGAGTACAGGAGGAAGGCAGAAAGGAGAGAAAGAGGGAAGAAAGGAGAGAGGGGATAGAGGGAACACAAGATCAAGAGCAAAAGCGAGAGAGAGAGAGAGAGAGAGAGAGAGAGAGAGAGAACACAAACAGAAGCAAATGACAGCAGGTGAAGAAGACATGGAGAAGGGAGGGAAAGAGAAGAAAGGGAGAAAAGAAACCAAAGACACAGAGCAACAAAGACAACAAAGGTGAGCCAGAAGAGAAGGAAATGATGAGGGAGAGAAAGAAATTAAGAAACACATATGTGCACGCACACATATGCAAAAACATAACATGCACATAAGAAAAGTGAGAAAAGAAAAAAAAGGAAAATAGTGAAGACTGACAGAGGAAAGGAGAGCAGCGATAACTGGATTTTTAGGATAAAGGATGAGACTCGGTCACCAGTCCTCACACCAGTTAAAGAGATGAGTAGCCAGGTGTGGTGGTGCATTATAATCACGGCATTTAGCACGTTGAGGCAGGTGGATCTCTGCAAGTTGCAAGGGAACCTGGGCTATGTAGTGACTTCAAGGTCCGCCTGAGCATCATCTCCAAACCCTTCTCAAAGAAAACAAACAATAGCAAGAACCACAAAACCCCCAAAGATACAAGTAATGGTGAACAGCACTGGGAAGAGGCACCTCAGTCTTCCAGTACTGACATGAGCTTTAGGTTAAATAGAGGAGGGACTGGGCCAAGAAGTGTATGCACGATTGAGTGGTCCTGGTCTAGGTGTCGTCAGGTTAGATCATTATCTAGTTGTGGTTCTTCAAGGTGGTCCAAGGACGTCCTTATTGTTTGAGAGGACCAGTGGGTATCTGGAGATGACACTCATATTCCAGGGTGCATCAGAGATAATTGCTCTCCTTTGGGGGGTGATCTATTCTTCAAGGAGCTGCTGTTCCTGAATCCAAGGTGACTGCAAGTTCAGAACAATTTTTAGGTACCTTTTATAGGTCTGGGATGGGACAGCAGCTCTTTGTGCCTCTGGCCTTAAAAGTGAATGAGATAAATTAGGTCTCCCAGTTTCTAGATAGGTACTTCATGAGTGGCTTATCACACCTTATGTACAGAGGAAAGCAGGTGACCAGTGTAAAGGAGACCAATGGGAAATGGATGAACACAGAAGTGCCAGGCTTTCATCCTGCTTTGAAGTTACCCTGTAGACTCAAATGAGGAATCAGTGCTTTTTTAGCAAAAATAATTTCTAAGTGCTTGTTACAAAATGGGGCTGGAGATACTGGAGAGTAGTGATGCCTGGTTGGCAAGGCCTAAGTTTCATCCCCAGCATAAAAAGAGAGCGAGGGTGGGGAGAGAAGAGAGAAGAAAGAAATGAAGAAATAAATGGAAAGGTGGAAAGGTAGATCCAGAGAAACAGAAAGATGGGAAGAGGGAGAGATAGAGGAGACAGAAGTTATAAGACAGCCAGAAACAGGCAGAAAGGGATGTGAGAGAGAAACCAAAGGTAATGGAGTGATGGAGCTGGAGTGCAATGAGACCAGTAATCCCAGCATTCAGAAGGCTGAGGCAGGAGGATTCCGACAACTTTGACAATAGCTTGGGCTATTTAGCAAGAGTCTACCAAAAGGGGGGTGGGGAGAGAAGAAGAAAGGAAGAGAGAGAGGGAGGAAGGGAGGGGGAGGGAGGATGGATACAGACAGGGGAGAGAAGGCAGGACCACTTTCTTCCACAGACATCCACTCCTTACTCCCATTGGTGGGAACCAGGCTCCATCTCAGTTCAGCAGGGACTCAGAGAAAAGCTTATGCCCTTGTTCTGTCTTGCTCATTTGGATACCTCTGTCCTCTGAGGGGTACTCTGATGGGAGACAGGGTACAGTGCTTGTCCTGTAGGCTGACTTACATGGCCACCTGGGTGAAGTATGAAGTAAAACCTAGTGCCTCCCTCCCTTGAGGCCTGAGCAGGCCCCAGCCTGCCTTCCTATGGGGCTCAGACAGGAAGATATCTCAAAGGTCAGCCCCATAGTACCTTTCACTGCACAGAGAAGAAACTGAGGCCCAGACAGAAACAAAGACAAACTCAAAGTTCTGTAGCCAGGCAGTGCCCTAGCCACAGTCATAGCCCTGTCCAGAAGCTGGTTGATATTACAGTGTCCCCAAATCCTTGGGACTTGTTTTCTAGTTGAACTACTTCCGGCCTAGGGCTATCCTGAGGCTTTAGTGACAGTGCTTTGGATGTCAGACACTGTGCTAAGAGTCTTACCTAATATCCTGTTAGATGACTACTGGGAATGGGCTGGTCACATAGAAGAGGAAACCAAGGCTCAGAGAAGTTGACTTCTAAACCCAGAGTCACACAGTCCCAGGACCCAAGCTGGGTCTGTTTGAACCTCTAAAGCTGGGCTCTGGCTATGATTTCTCCTATCCTTTCCAGGGGCTAGACAGGGAAGGAGTGCAAAATATGGAAAAGGGGGCATGGTGGGTGCCAGGTCCTATGACAGAAGAAAGTACCAGGATAATGTTTTTGGTTTAGTTGTTGTTTAGGGAGAGAAAATTAATTCAAGCTACTCTTTTTTAAATTAATTAAGGTCAGGTGTGGCGGTGCATGCCTTTAATCCTAGGACTTGGGAAGCAGAGGCAGGCAGATATCTGTGAGTTCAAGGCCAATCTGGTCTACATAGTGAATTGCAGGCCAGTTGGGACTACAGGGAGACTTTGTCTCAAAAAGACCCCAAAATAAAAAATAAAAATAAAATTAATTAATTTCTTTTTTATGTGAATGTGTGTTTTGCTTGCATGCATGTAAATGCACAATGTGAGTGCAATGCTCATGGAGGCCAGAAGAGAATGTTGGATCCCCTGGAACTGGAGTTATGGATGGTTGTTAGCTGCCATGTGGTTGCTGGGAACCAAACCTGGGTCCTCTGTAAGAGCAACCAGTGCTCTTAACTGCTAAAGGTATCACTCTAACCCCTGTTTTTGGCTTTGAAAGAATCAAATGTCAGACTTCTTCCCAAGCAGATTCAACTTGGGTCAGCTGTATCCCTGTCCTTAGGAACTCATTTTTTTCCCCTTACACCACTGCTGTTGTTAGCTCTCCTCCACACTCTTTCTCAGCCTCTGGAGAGAAGTTTGACTCCTGAGCCATATCCATCCTCTTTTCATTGTCCCCTGGCTATGACTCTTTGGACCCCGGGCCCACACTGGTTCTGAAGCCACAGAGATGAGCCTCATGAACTGTACTTCCATCCCCCTCAGCTGCACAACAATTCTCCCTCCACAGCACTGGCTCTCACTCTGCCTTGCTGGGATTTGACTTCTGGAGAGAGCTGGATGGAGGTTGAGAAGATGTTGGGGATGTGTTAAACTGATAGGCAGATAGAAAATAAGTCACTGGCCCAGCCATCCTTGATTTCCAGCCTGGGCCCGAGTGTCATTTGAAATTTTCTTACCCTTATGTAGCCTCAGTTTCTTCATCTGTATGATGGGTGTAAGGGCCAGCTTCATTGGATGGTTGGAAACTATAAGTCATAAATCAGCCTGGAGACATGGGAAAAAGTATTGAGTATACCCTGCTCCTTAATAGACCTATATTTCTTGGGGGACATATCATATCTGTTGAGTCTCCAGGTGGCTATACTCCAAAAATAGAGGTGGCCACAGATCTGGTCCCTTGAGCCACCACTCTTTGCTCATCTTGGGATCTTATCCTTCAAATCCTGAGTCCCAGGCCTGCTCTGTGTTGCTTTCAGGTCTTGCTCTGGCAGTGTGTTCCCAACCATAAGAAGGGAATGTTGCTGGTGTATGAGATCTGTGCTTGGCAGCCCAGGAAGGGGCTGGGGGGTCCTGGGGTGCTGTCCCTGAGTTATGCCAAGAGCCTTTCTGTGAATCAGGACTTGGAAGGAGCTCTGGAATCAATCTTCTTTTCCCAGGAGTCTTGGGAACTCCCAGGGTGGTAGCACCAGAACCCGGCCCTGCCCTTACCTCTTTCACCTGCCCTGGCTGAGGTCCATGGCCTTCTGCCAATATGGAATTGGGTGTGGCTGCCACATCTGGGTTGGGAGGACAAGGACAGGTTCTCGGGGGGGGGGGGCTCTCCTTTAAGTCCCTTACCCCTCTTTGGCCCCCCAAGGAGACACGGAACCCCGACTATGTCACCTTTCGTAAGGGCAACACGTTTTGC